ATGTATGCCTATGGTTTGTTTCCTGTAGCCTTGTATCTTAGTTACCATATGTGAGCTTTTTAAAATTTTCCTTCACCTTTTATAATACAGTTGTGTGCTATTATAACTGACTGATAGCTTTCCCCTTCTATTTTTAAAAATGTTAAGTATTAATGCGGAACAGAGAAAAATAGCATATATGCACCTTATAAATAGTTGTTGTTGCCGTGTTTCTATAAATTTGATACTGCAGCACAAGCTAAATGAAAGAGAAAAGTTATAAAACTATTTTCAATGGCCAGTCTCATTAGTCTTTATGTTAGGTTTTGGGGCTTCAATTGTATGACTGTGCCGAGCATCTTCAATTGCTACCGACTTCTTCAGTACTTTGTTTAGCTGTCAACTATTTTCAAACATCTCTGAAATGTCTTGCAGAAAGCACTTAATGGCTTGAAGAATTTGTGTCATATTTACATAATACATACCTACAAGAAAAAGATCTGATCAAAAATGCAGATGCCACAAAGCTAGGAGGAGTTGGAGGATAGAGCTAAAATTCAGAGGGATCTTGAAAAACTGGAGAACTGGGCTATACACAACAAAATGAAATTCAACAAAGGCAAATGTAAAGTGCTACATTTAGGGAAGAAAAACAAAATGCAACAAATAGAAAATTGAGGACAACTGGCTTGGCAGCAGCATTGCTGAGAAGGATCTGGGAGTTGCGGTGGATCACAAACTCAACACGAATCGCCAATGCAATGCTGTTGCAAAAAAAGCAAATGCAATTTTAGGTTGCATTAACAGAGGCATAGGATGCAAGTCATGGGAGGGGATAGTACTGCTTTACTTGGCACTGCTTAGGCCTCAGCTGCAGTACTGTGACCAATTTTGGGTTACCAGTGTATAGAAAGGATGTAGAGAAACTGGAAAGGATCAAGAGGAGAGTGACAAAGATGATCAAAGGGATGGAATGCAAGCCATATGAGCAAAGGCTGAAGGAACTGCTGAGTATGCTTAGTTTGGAAAAGAGCAGATGGTGGGGGGGCATGATAGCGGTCTTCAAATACTCGAAAAGGATGCCATAAAAAAGATGGAGAAAAGTTGTTCTCTCTTGCCACAGAGAGCAGGACAAAAAGCAATGGGTTCAAACTACATCATAATAGATTTAGATTAAATCTCAGGAAAAACTTCAGAAAAATAAGAACAGTAGGACAATGGAACAGACTGCCTAGGGCACTCATGGAATCTCCTTCACAGGAGGTTTTCAAAAGGAGGTTGGACAGCCACCTGTCTTGGATGGTTTAGAAACAACAAACCCTGCATCTTGGCACGGGGTTAGACTAGACGACCATTGTGGTGCCTTCTAACCCTATGGTTCTATAATGCAACCTACTCAAATAGTACAGAAAGCCATTTTTAATGCAAAACCTGTTTTACATACCCATGTCTTTCAGGTTAGCATCATTTTCCTTGTATGAATTAATTTTATATATGCTGTGTGTAGCCTGTTGGATGGTTTAGGTTAAGAAATAAGTAGAAATTAAGTTTGGGGCCTAAGTTAGTCTAATTGTCCAGGAGTATGGAAAGTTGAAGTTGCTAATATAAGAAAGTCTGAGATAAGTTGGAGTCAGTAAAGTGGGAAAATTAAAGTTAACGAAGACATGACCCAAGGTTATGTTGCTGTTATATTTTGATTATAACTGGTTTGAGCAAGGTTTTTAATGAGTGTTTTTGAAGATTGTGAATGTTTGATTAAAATACTATCTATATTGATAGTCTGGGAAGGACATTAGTGCAGATGTTTATTTAAATAAAGTATAATGTAAAGAACGAATAAGGAAGGGGTGGAAATATAATTATGGTAAGGTGCAGTTTAATGTTAATTAGTATTATAATAGATTAGAAAAGGAGTAGCCTTGGTAAATTGCAGAAGAGTTCTAATTAACATCAGAAGGGTATGGTTAGGTTCCACGATTATAAGGCTGTACTTCATTCTATTGTTCGTGGACTGATCATCCTTTAATACACTATTTCATCTTTGAGTGTAAGTATAATTGTAGTGTAAGAGATAATTGTATGCCTATTTGCTAAACTAATCATTTTTCTTTTGAATAAAGTTTAATTGTGTCATTCAAAGTATCATCTAGCAGTCCTCTACTAAATACATTTTCTGTAACCGACCTAGAGTCTTGAACCTAAAAACTAAGTTGGTTTGTCTGCACCCTTATATTTATATTGATATTAATTGGGAACATTTCAACATAAGGAGGTTGCAAAAGGTTACATATGGCGTGCCCACAAAGCCTGGGACTGAATATATTTCCTTTACTAGACATTGGGTGAGCCATCCTATAATTCTGAAAAATAACAGAACGATTAGTACTTATCGATTACTCTTTGGGTGTAGCCATCAGCAACGTTTCTCTTATAATAGCCGTATCGCTCCTGAAGAACTGAGTACATTTCAGGTCCTGAACAACTATAGCAAAAGCCTGCTCTTCTCTTGGATGGACCTTAACAAGGAAGATAAATATCCACAAGGAGCAGGGCCGGCTCTGGCTTTTTTGCTACCCCAAGCAAAAAACAAAAACATAAAACCTGCGGCGCAGCCGGAGCGGCAAAGCAGGAAAAAAAAAAAGTCAGGGTGCAGGGGGACTCCCTGCGCTGCAGACGTGCTCCGGCTAGCAGGGGGAGGAGGAGAGAGAGAGAAGGGGGGTGGCCAGGGCTTCAGCGGGATGATCGCCACGCGGCCCCGACCGTTGCGCCGCCTGCCAGGAGGGCTCTGTGCCGCTCCGGTCGGCGGGGAGGGAAGGACGCGGGCTGCCCAGCCGGGCTTGCTACAGACCTGGCACCGTCTGGGGCAGACAAAGCGCGCAGCCCGCTCCCAGCAGGGCGCTCCCCTCCTCCACGCCATCGCCCCCTATAGGGCGGCCAGATCGGCGGAGGGAAAGAAAAAAAAAAAGAGGCAGTCATGCCGACCTAGGATTGGGCGGAATACTGCCTGTAGAATCTGCTGCCCCAAGCACGAGCTTGCTCAGCTGGTGCCTGGAGCTGGCCATGACAAGGAGCATATCCAAACTTTTAAAAATTGGGTGATGACAGTCATGCTCCTAAATCCACGATTGGGAACCAAAATAAAAGTGGACTGATTTTCAGAGGTGGCAAGCACTTCTAGCTCCCACTAAAATTAGTAGGATTTGTGGAAGCTCGGAATGTTTAGGGGGACGTGGTGTGCATGGACTTCGGACTCTATTATTAAATAGCAACTACTGAACATTTTGGCCTGTGTTGTTTTCATAAATCTAATGACATTACCAATATTCATTACAATAATTCAACATGGAGCTCCCTCAGAAGCTATAAGGTCTCTTTTAGAAGTCAATAATTTAGCAAATTTAGTCTCTTTTTCTGAGAGATGTCTGCTATTACATCACATTCACAGTTATTGTTTCCACAGAAAATGTAGGTCAGCCCCTTGGAATGTAAGTATTATTTTATACTAGCATACAGTCAAGAGCAGTGATTGTAATACTTTGCTATGCATGAAATATATATGAGAGCAATAGTATTGTTAATCTGAAAGTGAGTTTGTGAATGAGGGTTTCAATGTGTTGGTAGGATAGGGTATCACAATGATAGCAGGGTTAATGTTGGAGATGGGGACTCTGATGTGTGAGTGTTGCCTTTATTTACTATTTTGCTTTGCTCACAATATTCTGATTTTTTTTCAACTTTCACATGCTCTCTATTGCTGCCTTCCATTTTGCAGATTTTCCCTCATTCAAAATGGCCACCCATTACTTTTAATAGGGCTGAAATAAGGCAAATTGGCAACTATGTTAACAGTGTCTACATGTGAAAGTGAGGCTGCCCCTGGCACTTTTCTACACAAACATTTAGTTTGCAGCAAGCTGGAGTGTGAATTATCTTGCTATATAGTAACTGTTCACATGGACCCTGCTGATGTGTATTAACAACTTATTAATGCGCTTTGATTGGTCTCATTTCAAAGAGGACTCAATTAAAGTTCATTAATAAAATGTTGATGCACATCAGCAGGGTCTATGTGAATTGTTACTCCATGACAAGCTATTGCAAAGTAGACTCACACCCCAGCATGCCACGAACTAATTGTTTGTGTAGACAAGCCCCTACTAAAGGTGGCCACCAGCACTCATTTTCCATGGGATTGAAGCCAAGCTACCATCAAGAAAAATGGCTGCAGTTCTATGGTTAGGGAGCCTTATAGAAAAGTGTGAGGAGACAGGAGAAGATAAGAAGCAGAAGAGAGACTGAGAAGGGGTAGAACTTAGAAGGAGATGTGGAGATAGGCGGAAGGAAACTGGAAGGGGGAGCTGTATGGAGATGTGAGAGCATTGCGGACTCAGAGTGATGCTGAGGATTGTGGAGCAGGAGGATGCAGAGGGGGAGTTGGAGAAGACTGAAGGGAAGACAGGGATATGGGGCTGCACTGAAAACTGAGAAGGAGAGAAGTATGGTGTTCAAGAGGGAGGCTGACGAGTTCAGGGACTACGAGGATGAAGAGAAATGGGGGCACAGCGGACAGTGATAAAGAAGCCAAAGGAGAGGAATGAGAATGAGCTCTCTCACCCCAGGGGCAGGAAAGAATAGGTGAAGCCCCTCTCTGAGCAGCCAGTTGGGAAGCCTGCATTTTTGCTACATTTAGTGTTGAATTTAGAACTGGAAATTATCACAGGGTGGCCGCTTCCTCCTACAGACTCAAAAAGCAGAAGGCAAAATTTTAACACAATAAATGTGTTGTTTTTTTAAATAATGATTTCTAAGTTCATCTTGTGATTGGAGGGGGAAAGGCTAACTCTTGATGGTTTAATGCTTAGGTTGGCTGTACACTTGAGTAGCCTTAATTCTAAGTTAATGATTTTCTTTTGAGAGGAAATTGACATAAAAATATAGTGAGTTACCACAGTGGAAGTAAAATATTATTCCTTAATTTTGTTAATGCCTGATGTCATTTATTTTATTTTTTTACTTTGTAGACCTGCCACCCCCTCCAGTGCCACCTCCTGCTATTAAATCTCCTACCGCCCAGTCCAAGTCACAGCTGGAGGTGCGGCCTGTCATGTTGCCAAAACTCGCCTCTATAGAACCGAGAACAGACAGGTCCACGGAAAGAAAAGGAGCAAGCTACAAAGGGAGGGAAGGGGCAGATGGCAGACAGCATTCTGATGTGCGGACAAATTCGGGAGAGCGCAGAGAATTGCAGGAACAGCAAAATGATGGGAAACTGCGAGGAAACAAAGCACCAAAGCGAGAAGGCACACCAGCAAAAACTCATCTTCTCCAAGGTGATTTTGGCATGCATTGAGTTTAATTAAATATATACCGTAGCTAAGCAGGAGGATCTGGTCCACAGATCTCCCGATCAAATTCACAGCAGGCTTGAGAAGTTAGGCCTGGTCTACACTATATAGGTGCTGGAACTGGGGGTGCTGCCACACCCCCTGACTTGAAGTGGTTTCCCTCATATATAGGGTTTACAGTTTGGTTTAATGGCTTTCAGCACCCCCACTATACAAATTGTTCTAGCACCCATGCTACGCTATGGGGTTAGGTTGACGTAACTTGCCTTGCATCTAACTATCTGTGGAAGTGTCTTCATTTAAATGTGGCTCCTGCTGACATAAGTGCCTCTCTTTGCCAATGTTGTAACACCACTTCCCTGCATGGCATAGAGTCATGGCTGACATAATTAGGTTTATGCAGTATCAGTGTAGACATTCTGTTGCTTATGTTGACTGTTACTGGCTATCAGGAGCCGTCCTACAATGCCCCACACTGACAGTACGATCAGTACAAGTGCTCCTGGTGAGGATGTGCACTGGAGACACAAGGAGCTACACGTGCATACACAAGCAATTTAATAAGTGTGGTGGCTGAATATAGATGCAAAAAACCCTTCACTTTTCTCGGTGATTACTGGGGTTAATGTTGGAGGGTGGAAGGCCCTGGTTACTGGGCCACCATCTCTCCGGCTGGAGTGGGGAACCAGGTGCTTCCAAAATGTACGTGAAAAAGTCAGTAAAGCAAAAACAAAACAAAACACACATACCCCCCCCAAAAAAACCCAACCTTTCCCCTCCCCTTCTCCCCCCAAATAATGACTTTTGTAAAACTTGGGAAACTTTTGATAAAAATAAATAAAACGGAAAATGAAAGGCCTTAAATTATACTGCATTACAAAATGAAAACAGATTGCATTGCTGTGCATCAAGTAGGCAATATTGTGAACTCAATCTTGTGAAAATAATACATGCATTTCACTAGGTAATGCATACCTTACATATTGCAACCACACCTGGAGAGACATTTTTGGAGTGCCTTATGGACATTTGTCACTCGTATGATCTCCTCCTGCTTCTACCCCAGGTTATTAAGGGAGTTAAGTGAGGCTCAGGTAACCCAGATATTTAGCAATAGTACTGGTGAATCGAAGGTTGACTCATTTTTACCTCACATTTATAGAGGAAAAAGGTGCAATCCAGATTTCAAAGACCACTTAGTCTTGCTTCAGTCCCCTTTAAAAAGTAGAACACTATAATGAAGATTAGACCAATAGAATGGGTTAGAGATGCACAGGTTACAAATAGTAACCATAATGATGTTACAAAAAATGGATCATGCTAGACCAACCTAATCTCTTATTTTATGGAGGTCAGTAAGGCTATCGATAAAGGGAGTTCATATGACACTATCTGTCTTGCCCCCAGTAAAGCTTTGGGCAAAGTATCAAGCAAATGCTTGATTCTTTCTTAGACTAGCTAGCCTGGCTACAAAACAGGGGAATAGAAATTGGACAGTAAATTGGTTAAATGGGCACATAAGCAAGAGGTCACTGTAAATGGCAGTGGGTCACAATAAAGAGAAGCCATTAGAGGGTTACTTCAGGGGTTGGTTCTGGGGCCGTTGCTTTTCAATTTATGTATTAATGGCTTAGAGCAGGTGGCAAAATTTGCTGATGACAGTAAAATTAGAAACAATGTTAATATTTAAGGGGCATCTCACCTTCAGAAACAGTTAAAAACGTTAGGGCAGATGTCTGTGTGTTGATTTATAGATATGCACTTGAGCTCTAAAATCATGAGGCAGCCTACGTGTGACTGGGTAACAAAATGAAATTTACTGACAATAAAAGGAATGGAAGCATTCAAGTTTGCAGTATCTATTACTGATTCTAATTATTATTTACTTAATAAAAATACTTAGCTCTGGTATACTGCTTTCATCCATGTATCTCAAAGCAAAACCAGAAATGAGGGATAAGGAATTTTAAGGCCAAAGTTTTCCAAAGCGTCAGTTGATTTTGGGTGTGTCTGTTTTTCTGTGCCCAACTTGAAACCAACCTAAAGGACCTGATTTTCAGAGGTGCTTAGCAACTGCACATCCTGTTGACTGTAGTGTAAGCCTACTGCACTGGTTCCCAAAGTTTTTACTAAGGCAACCCACTCTCTGCATTTTTCTTTTCTTGCAAGCCACCATTAGACAGATGTACCCTCCACCCCAGCAGAGGGGAAGGGAGGACACACTGTGTGAGCAGGAGAGGTTGGAGAGACAGTCTGCCCCACAATCACCCAATAGCAGAGGCTCCTGTCCCATGGGGCTGGGATCAACTCCCTGCTCCAGGTGTTGTGACCTAGTGCCTGGGGTCACAGGCTTGTGGTGAAACCCTGTGCACCCGGTTACAATGCCCAGAGCGGGGAGCTAGGCCCAGTCCTACAGGGTGAGTGCAAGGCAGTCCCGCTGTCCAACTCTTGTAGCCTCCCATCCTCATCAGGCCAGGAGAAGTGTATGTTTGCCTAGGCCAGGGCCCAATGATGGGTTAATCTGACCCTGGGCATGGTGACTCCTCTAGCGCCTTTCCGCAATCCACTGGTGGGACAGAACACACAGTTTGGGAAACAATGGTCTAGTGGATAAGGAGACAGGAGACCTGAAGTGCATTACTGAGTCTGCTACTATTTGTAAGATCCTGGCCAAGTGACATAGGCCCCCAGATTTACAAAAGTTTCCACTAAATTTGAGTGCCTACATTTTTGAATGTTCAGCTTGAGATATGCTGGGCCTGATTTTCAGAGGTGCTGAGCACCCACAACTCAAGGATGAATTGTCCTCTCCACCTCCAAGGTCATACCTGACAAATATACTGCAAAGGTTTTCTTTATTTCTCCATTTTCTGCTGGAATATAGAGCAGGGATCATAAGTTTCATGTCATAAGTGGACATGAATCATGGATCACTCTTTCAGTTGCTTCTTTCTCTTCATTTCCATATTTCTAACCTCACTATTACCTTTTCTTCAATAACATTTTTTACTCTGTTATGGAAACAATTATGAAGCAGTTCATACTGCTATCAGCCATCACTCTAAATCTCTGGGTGGTCATTTGAAAATTGCACACATCAAGTATGTATGCAGACTTTGCAGATGCACATTATATCAAAGCATATAAATGCATATAACAATGTATATATTTCATTACACAGAGGACATCTTACCATATTGTAGGCCTACGTTTCCAACATCAAATAATCCAAGAGATCCCAGTTCCTCCAGCTCTATGTCATCAAGAGGATCAGGAGGTAGACAAAGGGCAGATCAAACCAATATAGGCCGAAGAAATGCTTCAGAAATGCAAATACTGGGAGCATATGAACAAGGAGAAGAAGAAGAATTAGAGGTAACTGCAATGGCACTAATAGCAATGCATAGGATAGACCCTTGTCACTGGCAAATGATTTGAGGACCTAGATAGATAGCAAGGGGAAAGCACATTTCAAAAGTGGAAATATTTAACATAGGAAAATTATTTTAGTTATTTTAATTGTTCATTAAACATAAGCACATAAGAATGACCATATTGGTCAGACCAATGGTCCATCTAGCCCAGTATCCTGTCTTCTGCCAATGCCAGATGCTTCAGAGGGAATTAACAGAACAGGACAATCATCAAGTGATCCATCCCGTCTTGTCAAGTCGCAGCATCTGGCAGTAAGAGACTCAGGGACACCCGGATCATGGGGTTGCCTCCCTGACTAGCTTGACTAATAGCCAGTGATGGACCTATCCTCCATGAACTTATCTAATTCTTTTTTTAAACACATTTTTAGTTATAGCCTTCACAACATCCCTTGGCAATGAGTTCCACAGACTGGCTGTGTGTTGTATGAAGAAGTATTTCTTTTTGTTGTTTTAAATGTGCTGCCTATTCATTTCATTGGATGACCCCTGGTTCTTATGTTATGTGAAGGGGTAAATAGCACTTAGTTTCTTCACACCATTCATGATTGTATAGACCTCTATCATGCTCCCCCTTTGTTGTCTCTTTTCAAAGCTGAATAGTCCCAGTCTTTTTAATCTATCTTCATTTGGAAGCTGTTCCATACCTTTAATCATTTTTGTTGCTCTTCTCTATACATTGTTGTTATTCCCCAGACAAAAGTTATATTAAAATAGAGATATGGTTGAGAATACATATAAGGATGTTGTGATTATTCACAAAACCAAGCATTATAAGCACAGGAAATTCAAAATAAAGGTTAAATTTAAAATAATACAAACATGTTCAGGTATAGAAATACAGAGTTAGGGCACCCAAAACAACCTTAACTCTACCCTCTCATGACATATCTTAGAGTCTGTTGTGCTAGATTAGACTAAATAGGTATTTAAAGATATTTTGTTGTCGTCCTCTAGTGTCAACCAAATTCAGCCTTTGTCTTAAAATTCATGCACAATAGCATGATTATATGTTATTTGTGAGTAAAAATCTCTAAGGCTAGAATGAAAATACTTTAAACAATAAAAGCAAGCTAACTCCGAGCCAATTATTTTGATTTCTTACAGGAAACCGAAAGCTGAAGAGGATGAGAGATGTACTGTAACAGGCTTTGAAATCTAATCAGAAAAATATCACTTAAGATGCCTCGAGTCTGATGATGTTTGACGCCAGAAATAATGTTCAGTGCAATCAGAGTGTACAAACTTTCATTTTTATTCATGCCATCAGAACGCTAGTCTTTATTTTACTATTTCTTTTTAACCCCTTTTCATTATGAACAGCCCCTGACTATTGCATAACGCTAAGTGTATCACCTTCTTTCTGCCCAGAAGGCAGGTAACCTGCTCTTCCTGGTGTGGATGCCAGCTAGCACTTCAGGATTTGGACAGAAGAGGGTGCCAAAACCTGGGATTCCTAGTTTTCACCCTGCAGGCGGCACCAAGCCAATTGATACGGCACCGAGTCAGTTGATAATCTTCCATGTAATATAACATTGATTAAAAATACTAAATTGCATAAAGTGAAATTTATGCAAAGGGTTCTTCTAATGTAGTGGCTTTACTATAGCCTGCAGTTAGTGCAAAGGGGAACTTGCATTTTCAAAATGGACTGTTCCTTTTATTTCCTGCCAGTTTCTCAATTACCCTTTGCAGCAGCAAAAGAATTACTTCTTAAAATGCAACTAGAAGCAATTTGGGGTGAGGTGGCTCATATTGTAAATATATACTCATTTTAAAGCCCCTGTGGTACTTTAATTTGTCTTCCCCATTTTCATCATTCAAGTACATTCTTATTGAAAATGTCCTTTGGGATAGGCAGGAGCCAAGCCAGTAGGATCTCTGGTGGTCTACTCATGGCATGAATAAGTCTATTAGAAACTTGTTCTAATTTTCAACTTAAATGATACATAAAAATAAGCAAGGAAAATAATGGACATTTTTAATAATAATTGGATAAGGACATCGTTATTGTGACTGGCCCAAATCTCAGACCTCTACTTGTAGTATCAATTCACCTTAAAGAAGTGCCACTTAAAGACGTTTTGTTTGATCTTGGGGTTTGTTTTGTTTTGTAATGCACTGC